TCTTTAGGATGTCTTTGGGTTTGGCTCAGGGCTTCACTTCTTTAGGGCCTGTTTTGGTTTTGCTTAGGGCTTCACTCCTTTAGGATGTCTTGGGTTTCACATCGCTCCTTTAGGATGTCTTGGGTTTCACTTAGGGCTTCACTTCTTTAGCGTCTCTGGTTGGTTTGGCATAGGGCTTTGCTGTTTTAGGATGTCCTTGGTTGTGACTTAGGCTTCTTTAGGGTCTCTTTTGGCCTGCCTTATGGATTCACTTCTTTAGGATGTCTTTGGGTTTGACTCAGGGCTTCACTTCTTTAGGGTCTGGTTTGGTTTTGGTTAAGGCTTCGCTCCTTTAGGGTTTCTTTTGGCTTGGCTTAGGGCCTTGCTTTTTTAGGATGTCTTTGGGTTGGACTTAGGCCTTCACCACCACTCCCCAAAAAACACTTCCCAGAAACCACTCCCCAGAAACCACTCCCCAGAAGCCACTTCCCAGAAACCGGTCCCCAGAAACCGGTCCCCCAGAAACCAGTCGCCAGAAACCACTTCCCAGAAACCACTCCCCAGAAACCACTTCCCAGAAACCACTCACCAGAAACCACCTCCCAGAAAGCACTTCCCAGAAACCAGTCCCCAGAAACCACTTCCCAGAAACCACTTCCCAGAAACCGGTTTTCAGAAACCGGTTTTCAGAAACCACTTTCCAGAAACCACTTCCCAGAAACCACCTCCCAGAAACCACTTCCCAGAAACCACTCCCCAGAAACCAGTCCCAGAAACCACTTCGACCATTTGACCCGCGTTCCGAAACGATCCGAATCCGCGTCCCGAAACGAGCTGAATTCGCGTTCCAAAACGAGGCGGCGGCCTGGCTGCTTCATGCGCGTGTAGCGTTCAGAATTTTGTTGATTTGGGCTTTGGCGGCATTTGTTGGATTGGGATCCGCATCCAATCACTCCCGCCAGAGCTGAAGGGAGTCGCTCGACCTGATGTAACCGTGGTTACTGTATTGTTTTGTCTTCCGGACCTGATGTATTTCGCATGCAGGTGTCTTATATCGCTTTTCAACTTCCATTATAGTTTTAATGGACCTGTGTTTTGGAACAGTGTTTCGGAAAGGTGAGTCCTACGTTCTTGTTCAAGGTATGCGCAGCAGCGTCCTTTACACCTCATTATTTTGCATCCCGCACCGTATTGCGATATTCTTCAGAAAATTCAGCCACACGGTGGTCTGGCACCCACACACACACACTCAATCAGTTTATGCGTCTTTATCCCTCCGGGTTGGAAACTGAACGTGTAGTTGTGTGCATGTTTTTAATATCAGGAAATCACCAAAACCGCAAAATTCTTGTAAAAAACACATGTTTCATGTTAGAAGGTCTGCTGCTTCAAAATCCTGAGCCACGACGAAGAATACATACTTTCACATGTTTGTTACGACCTCGCACCACCCTGGCGATTGACTTGGAAAGGTCGTTGCTGACGCTTCTGGCAGCCCAGGCCCTCAGCTGATCTTGGTCCTGGTCTCTAGACTCTAGCCAACACTAACTCTCTCTGTATCCTGGTTTCATACTCGTGGAAACGCCAAGGAAATACGGCGAGAGGAAAGGCAAGCCCGCGCAGGACTTACGTCCAAAGAAATGGAATGTGAGATTTGCGCAGGGAGAAGGGGACTGCATATCCGCCATGCACCGAAACGGCCAAAGTGGACCAAAAAACCTCCCTGTGCGACGTACGCAACAATCATCTAGGACCTGCAAAACTTCTGATCAATCGGCAACATACAGCAGTTGCCGAAAGGTTCGCAGGGTATGCAACTTGGATCTTGCAAGCACATCGCCCAGCACCTCATTGTTTTGGAGCTCAGCTGCCAGGGCAGAATAGGACAAGTAGTCCACGTTCGCGCCCTGGAGCACATGAAACTAACTACTTGGAGTCTATAAATATATATATATATATTATACATACATATATATATATGATAAAGAAGCATGCAACACACTTTTGATCCACTTCGCAGCAATGTTGTCAACACTAAAAGTAATCAACACAAAGGGAGCCAACTATCGGTCAGTCCAAAGGGTTTCCCTACCCTTTCGGAGAGTGACCCATCTCACCCGGCCACACCCGGGGTGAGTGGAATCCCCTGTCCGTTCCACCGTTGGCGAGCCACACCTCCTAACCTGACGATGGCTGACGATCGCAAAAATTTGAAAGGAACGGACAGGAGGCTCAAGTGTTGGAAAGGTTGGTCTTAAAAGAAAGTTCCTGTACACAAGTAAGTAGGGTCTCAGCCTCGGGTCTTGTGGGCTCAAATGCATTTGCGCAAGGACTGCAAGTCCTTCGTTGATGTACAGGCGGGCACTTTTCTGTGTGTGCCACCGCCCCTGCACAAGAATCCTGTCAAGATTCTGATGCTTCTGAGAGAAAAACGTCGCCCCTCCCGGCCGGAGCGAGTAGGGCCTAAACTGGAATTCCCCAATGCCTAGCTTCTCTAAGGCTTGGTTGAAAAGTTGCCTCCATTTGGGAGGAAATGGAGTAAGGCTAGTTCCAGCATTCACACCGCGTTTCCACTCCTTCACTAGGTGGACAATCGGCTCAAGGCCAAGTACCACACTTTCAGCAGCTCCACGCCGCTTGCCGCCCTTCGTAAACCCTAGGCCTATGACAGCCTGTAGGGAGCCTTTGGCACATTCAATGTGGTTAGAAAGCAGGCCGAAGATTTCTCCCGTCCTCAACATGCAGTAGTGCCCTATTAAAAGTGAAAGACCGAAGGCGTGGTGGTTATTAAAAATTGCCCAACCTGCCATGGCATGAACGACATGTTCCGGCAAGGGCGGAGCCCTGCTCGGAATCTCGTTATGTTGCCACGTGCGAAGGAGCCGCCAGGCTGCCGGCATGTGGTTGCGGAGCCCCGGCTGCATATCTTGCAGCCCGGCAAGCGTGTCACACGCCTGCCCTCGCCCCTTGCCAGACGACCAAAGGTGTTTCAAGTAATCGCAAACCAAAGGATCAAGGCGACGCTTGTCGGTGGGCAAGACGAGGTTCTCAGACCTGAGGAATTGTAGAAACCCATCTACAGCTTTGTCATAGCGCTTCCTAGTGGCGGGCTGGACAGTTAGCAAGTTGAGGCTACCGAGTTGTTTTCGCACCTTGCACGCTCCTGCTCTGTTCCACCTTCTAAAATCCCCTTATGCGTTTCTAAACTTTGACTTGACACGAGACCCCCAGCGGCTTGGCTTATCCGCAGGGTTCGTGTCTGTGGACACGTATGCCCAGAAGAACTGAGAGTTAGAACAGAGAATGAGCGCGTTGATGCGAGACATAGTGCTCCGAAGCCGCCTAGAGCTGGTCCTGCCCCGCGCAGGCACACGAGTGAGTCCGTCAAGCGCAACATCCGATGATTGTCATGTCCACCGTGCTCGATGCGCCAACGAACCGCATTGAGGATTGCCCTTAACTCGAGCGAGTTGATGTGCTCTTTCCCATGGCGCCACTTCCAACCAGTCACGACTTGCCACCTCCACAACTTGCCTGGCACCGAAGCCCGCAAGCGATGGAATTTGACCAACTGGGTGCTTGGAGTCGAAAGGAGGATGTCCTCGCCCTTCACGCTTACCAGGTTGCACAAGCTCTCCTTCAGATCCTATTCCCAAGGTTGCTCTATGCGTGGGCAGCCGCACTAACCGCCCTTGAAGCGTCTCCGATGAGCCTGGCCGACAACGATCGACAACCTCCTGGGGTGACATGGGTGTCTCACCCACGAGTCTTCCTATCAACTGCCCCAACAGCCAGACAGATGGGACTCGAATGCGTCCTTCTTGGTTGACCACTCCATGGCGATCCATGTGCTGGTAGGGAGGGAATCGATGCAAGTCCTCCTCCCATCGCTGCAACTCATGAGTCCTACACTCACGAATTCCCGCTGGTTTGCGCCCCGGACGAGCTAATGGCCGCGATCCATCAAGGCATGCACCTGGCACCCGCGAAAGTGATTGCGGGTCAACTGAGTAATGTGCGACACGTGCACGTACAGCGAAGATCGGGCGTCTTTGAGGGCACCGCGCCTATCCGCGTTCAGCCCCGAGACCCCCTGGCAAGGGGGCCCCGCGCCCACTACGACAAGGTGTGCCTGCGAGAACTTCAAGCTCCAAGAGCGTACATCTTCGTCATTGAAGTCACGTCCTCATAGTTAGCAACTCCAACCTGCATTCCTGGGGGATGGGCAGGTACCTGGCATTCGTTGCATTGAAGCTCTCAATCATACGCCACACTGCATTGAGCGTGCCCAACATAGGCCTCCTGAACATGGAGAAGTAAACCAAACCGCCAGACTACCTGCAAGAGAGTGACTGCAAGACTGAAGTACTTCTCGAGCTTCCCTTCCTTCCTATAAGGCGACCCCAAGCCCGTCAACTGTTGCCCCTTCGAGCTCACACCTACCCGACCTCTCAACGGCCTTCTTGGCATTCCTTGGCACGTCCCAACGCTCATACTCACCTCTCAGTGCCAGGATCCCTTCCGGCACCGTACCCTCAACTTCAACCATTCCTGTGGCCTCCACCTTTTCCAGCACATCGTAGCTGTCCAAATAAACCCTCCAACAGGGGTTTGCCACAGTAAAGGACCGGTCCTTACGAAGCTCCGCCTCTTCCTGGTGCACAACCTCGCCCTCCAGAGTTGACAAACGAACTAAGTTCCTATGGACGTTCTGGGCGATGCTGACGGAGTTGAGGAATCCCATGGGCAACACCCTCGAAGCCAGGTAGGCCGTCGATCCCTTCAGCTCTGGTGGTAGGACTGTATCAGGTACTGCCTTGTTGAACGCCAACTCATAGAACTCCCGTCGCCAGGAGTATTCACTTGCTCGCCTGGCCCTCCTTCGGGCGCTGCTTGTCCTTGTCTTTCCCTCCTTTTCCTTTGCCCTTCTCTCGGCTCGTCCTTGGACTTGTCCTCGCTCTTGCCGCCTTTTGGGCGTCCCTCGGGATAGGACGCCAGCAAACGTGTCCTGGCCTCGCTGTGGGCTGCACGCTGCGCCGACACCAACTCCTCTTGGCCTGTCATGCACAGCTGGTCGGACGGCCCCACTTCCAAGCGCTGAGTCGCCGACCAGTGACTGCCCATGAGTCCCGCTTCTACTGCTTTCATTCGTCGAAGGAGAACGTCCAAGGCTTTTGCTGGCCTCGATTTCAACATCAAGTCGACAGCCATTGCCAATGTCAACAACTCTCTTGCCGCTGGCCCTGTGGCCCGTTTCTGTAGGTGCTGCTGCATGTAGAGCATTGCAACAGGCTCCCGCCTCTTGCAGTAGGTTTGACCGCATCGTTGACAATGCCTGCCAGGCCAACGCTCCAGGGGCCCGTTGAGCCACCCGCTGTATTTTGCTCTCGCCATCGAACAGCGTGTCCTCCACCTCCTCTGCAAAGTCGCTGCTCTCCTTCGACGAGGAGCTCTTGCTCCCGGAGCTTGTCTTGTCTTTCGGTTTCTTCCTTACCGCTCTTTTGGCACGGTGAAGCACCCTTCTCCTCACTTTCTCTCTTCGATCGAGCCCCGTCCCCGAGTACAGAGCGTCGTACTCCTTCATGGAGGCTAGACGAGGTTGTCGTCCATCCAGCCTGACGGATCTGCTGCTCGAGGTCGAACTCGACTTCCGCTTCTTGCTGCCTTTCGCCTTCTCCTCCTTCCTCTCCTTTTCTTTGGGGCTGCGACTTCCCCGCTTTTCCTTCTTCTCTTTCTTTTGACTTCTTCCTCGGCTCTTCTTCCTTCTCCTTTTCCTGGACCTCTTCCGGCTGTGGCTCCGACCTTTGCCATGATCGTCGCCCTTCTTGCCTTTCTCCTCTGCTTTCTGTTCTCCTCCTGCAGTCCTGCAGGAGCCAGGTCGGCGTCCCGAGCCCTCAACGCAGACAGCTCGTCGATGCCGGGTTCGACTGCTTCCAAACTGCGCATCCAACCTTCTTCTCTTCCGGCGACTCGAAGGGGAGTTCCCTGCTTTCGACTTTGGTACTTGAGGAGTGCTTCACCAGATAGTGAATCGCCTCGGGTTGCACGTCCACCCCCTTCAGGCTTTTGGGGCCGGAACCAAACCCAGAGGCGTTCGCTTTGCGGGAACTTCTGGTGGGGTTGGTGGCAGCTCCTCTGCCGGTGCTGGATCAGGTTCCTCTACTACCTCCTCCTCAGGCGTCTTTCTGGCCTGAGCCTTGTGGCTTGCGTCTCCTCTTTCTTTTCTTTTTGGGCTTCTCCGACTCTTCCCCCTTCGCCTTTGCTCTCACTACCAGGCTCTGCAGGCTTTAGCTCACCCACACCTGGTGTCGTATCACTCTCCTTCTTCTCGTCCTCCTCGGTCTTGACAACCTCCTCACCCGCTTTCTCCGACTCAAGCAACTGATCAACCACAGGGGCACTTGGCACCCCGAGAGGGCGACTGATGTTACCTGGCGTCAAAGGTGGTTCCGCTGGCCCTGACACTGCCTTTTCCTTAGCAAGGATTGGAGCCGCAATCTCCGCCAAATCTGTCAATGCCCCAACACACGACCGCAACACTTCAAGCGCTTTGCCTTCTTGTCCACGTAGAAGGAAACCTCCGCAGTAGATGTCACGGATCCTCGGAATCGACCTGCAACCAGAGCACGTGTTCCCTTCCTCACGGTCGAATGTCAGGCACAATGGGCAGCGGCTCGAAGACATTCAAGCTTGAACGAAAACACTGCGGAATCAAATGAAAGTTGATGCTTCTTAGACAACGGGGCCGTAGATACATATATGTATATTATGTGTATACACATGTCATGTCAACTGAGAATAGGCTCTCAATGGCTCTGAGATCAACAAACGTGCAAACTTTGGCTAGCACAGGCATCACAAATACTTGGCAACAGCTCCTTCTGCTTCAGGCCAACAAAGATGGGGTGTTCCACCTTCACACAAAGGACATAAATCCTGAACCGTGTTGAAGATGGAGGGAACCTATTCACCAGGAAAAACACATCTGCTTGAAGTTCTAGTTGAACTTTGCGGTGGATTCAGTCATGTTACGTACCTACACACCTTTGACGGCAGGAAATTGTGCCATCATCACCAGCTATGCCAACCCATGCACATCACAAAACGTCAAGCTTGTCAACGTTTTTTCAATGGCCGTCCAGGCTTCTCAATGGCTCTTGTGACATGTTTCAAGCTCTCAGCTTGATGCCTGTTATGTTTATATACATGTCTGAACCACCTGCCGTTTGGCTGATCCAAGGCTCAGGCTTGAGAGCCGTGCCGTGCGAAGGCAATGAGGCTGACAGTGCTCACAATGCCGGTGCTCAGCCAAAGGCCCATCAACCAGTCCGGCATCACCTGCGTTCATTTCCAGATTGAACCACGCACAGTGGAAGGATTACTGGGTAAAATGCTAGAAAGAAATAGAAGTTCAATGTGTGCTTCAATTGGATCGCCAGACAAGGGTTGGAATATCAAAAGGAACCCACCAGTAGGTGTTGCACATCGCACTTTGACAGCAATTCAACAATGCGACGAGCACTCTGTCCTTGGCATCATCAAATACCGAATCGGCCGGTCTCGCTGCCAGTTGTAGCCCCAATGCGACAAGCATCAACACACAATGAACCAGTAAGGACCTGTAAATGGAGAGGAGTGATGTCTGCTCTAGCACTTGACCGGGATGGCCAATCACACCGGCGATGTAGTCGGGTACTCCTCCTTCATTCAGCAGCAAACACGATGTCAGCAGCAAAAGCAAGATGGCGACAGGGCCTCCAACTGAAATAGAGCGCATCCTCGTCGAGATGTGGATGACATTGATGGACAGGATTCTGGAAGCTACTTCCAGAGCACGAACAACCACCAGGCCTGCTAACACTGGCTCAGGTGCCATTTCGAGCTTGCCTGGCAACCCCAACACCTTCGACCCCACCGTGTCTTTGCTCGCAAAGGCGAGGCCAAGAGAGAAGCAAGAGATGCAGATTGATGCTCCCAGTCTCCACACTTGGCTGGTGTCCAAGTCTAACGTGCTGAAGGCATCCACACCAGCAAGCATGCAAACGAGGAAGTTCATCTGCACTACTGCCGAGACAGCAGCTTCACCCACCTTGGCTACCCCTTCCAAGGTCCAGTCAAACGAACAGAAAAACGCGTGGCAAACCTTACACAAGCTGTAAGCGCTGCAAGCTTTACGCCACAAACACTCAACACATGCCAGGCACCTCGGCGGACTTGACACACGCCAGAAGCGGATGCATTTTGCGCATGGATGCGGACCAAACTGTGAGGCACACAATGTGCATCTGCAAGACCACTGCTAGCACCATTGCAATGGCCAGACACGGAGCGCAGTACCTGCACAGCAGTCGAAACATTCGCATCGTCTTGCTGGAGCGGTCTCGCTGCAGTCTGACATCCCTCGAATTCCTTCAAGTTCATCATGTTTGCAATTCTCAACGAATTGGTTTAAGGGAAAGTCTGCGGGAAACTCCTTTCGTCACCCCAACACTATGGCCCTTTCTTGTAGCCCAGACAAGAAACTATTGTAGACAACCGTCTGACCAAGTTCCAGGGCTCAACCAATAGCTCTTTAGGGGTCTACGGTGGGTCACATGAAAACCGCGGGTGCTGCGGGCGCCTGCCACCTGCTTCCAGGACATCCAGCTCTGGGTTTCTCTGCGAAAAGAATTCCAACACGTGGCGGATTGAGATCAGAACTGGAAGGGCTAGTCCTGAAGTGCAAGGCGGTTTACCTAAACACACATCCAGCCACAAATGTCGGCCCAAACGTATGAAGTAAGCAAAATGTTCAAGGACGTTTCAAGATCTCAAGTCTCAAATTGCTACAAAAAAATGAGCAAACCACAACCACGTTCATTGGGTCACCTGGGTCATCCTCTAACTCAGTCGAACTCAATGGCCCGGTTGGGTTCACCACTTGCCACGAACCGCCATGTTGGTCCTATCGAGCCAGTTCCGCTCCTGTCAAATTGAAGAGCACATAGTCATACATTCCAGTGGTGGCAAACAGCCGTAGCTGCATGATGTCCAGGACCAAGTCCATGTATGGCAAACCCTGACAGTTGCCCACCCACAAAACATTGCAAAGGCAAACATGAGTGTTCCCATGAAAGTTGACCCAGGCATGAGAATCCAACAAGCATGCCCTAGAACGGATTACATCACCATCCGAAATGCAAGCTTGGAAAACTGGGCCGCTGGCAAAGTGTAAAAGAATGAGTTCCAACCAAAAACCCATGCTCTGCCCAGTTAGGCCAAGAATGTCGCAGCAACCTGAACTGTTCGTGTAGAGCACACCAGTGAGGTGATCTTGCTCCTTCAGGGTTTGTGACGGATCTCCACGAAGCAAACCTCAACCAAAAAAAATCTATATATATATATATACATCATAAGCCTCCCAGCTACTTCAAGCTCGCTTTTTCTCCGCGCTCTCTCACACGTACACTTCCATGTTATGGTACAACCCCGCCCTGGGGATATTGCGTTGGTATGTCCTGCAAACTCAGGACCCTCCCCTCTGGTTGCACCATCCTTTGCCACCAGGATGAGACAGCAACCAGATACGAAAACTCCCTCGCATCTGGATCCACAGACAAAAAAAAGCCTGGTCCCCAGGCGACCACCACTGGATCAGGGACACTCCACCGGAGGCCGTTCTTCAGGGTGGGAAGGGTGGGACAGAAACTCCCCTGTCCACTTTTCTGTTTGTGCACCCTAGCCTGCCCAAGCTCTACACAACTATACACCATCAGTCTCCCAGTGCGTGCTACTCCAAGCTCGCTTTTTCTCCGCGCTCTCTCACACGTACACTTCCATGTTATGGTACAACCCCGCCCTGGGGATATTGCGTTTGTATGTCCTGCAAACTCAGGACCTTCCCCTCTGGTTGCACCATCCTTTGCCACCAGGATGAGACAGCAACCAAATACGAAAACTCCCAATGCATTTAACTCCCCAACACATTCACAGGAATTCTCCCACGCGAACAACTGCTCGCAACGGGAGGAACCATAACACTAGCGGGAAGCGTGCGAGAGCGCTTGAAAAACTATGGGAATGGTGCCATTCATCCTTGAATCCTTCACGGCTGATGGCATCAGCCCAATTGGACTTGGATGGCACCCACTCCCAATAAATCCAACGCCGTAACGAGAAAAGTAACAGGTGGATCAAACAACTCATCTTTTCAAGATCATGACTGGCCGATCGCCCTTTTATCAGGGCCATCAAAGAGGCCGTGTTATCTATGTACCACACTCCTCTACGCCCGCGGAACCTCAGGAACTGTCACCAGGGCTGTCAGTACTTGAAGAAGCTCTAACTGTGCGATCTTAGCATCGCCTGGCGACCATAGCTGGTACAAGATGTCGGGCATCTCGGAAACAAAGCCCAAACGTTCTTGGGCTTGGTCGTTGAAGAAAACTAACACAAGAAGCCTCCAGTGCCCTGCTGGGGGGCCTCCAAAGCTGCATCTGACGCGGCCACGAAACGAGGATGGGCACGAGGGACAATATCGATTTCTCTGGCTGGGTGCATCTCAAACACCGCATCGAGAACTGCAAAGAGGTCCTTCTCTTTGGACAGCTGTCGCTGTTTGACGGCTGCAAATCCACTACAACCAATGCGACCGTACATGTCAAGGAAGTTGGCGAGCCCATAGATCTTATAGCTGCCTGGCCAGGGGAGAGAACCCGGCCACTCCGCGCTTTGGCTAGCATGCGGCGAAGCTTCTCATGTAGTTTCTCCCTGGCCCAGAAAGATACACGGCCCCCGCGCTGGACGTCCGTGAGGTCGTGCGTCAAATGCAGGAATGTCCCCGGTGCTGCCATCGGCTGCCTTTTGTCTGGGGTGAAGGGGGTGCCCAACAGCTCGTTGAGCACTTCGAAAGCCCACTGCGCCGATCCTCAGCTTGATTGCCAGTCAGTCAGCGAGGCATCATCAAAGTAGAGACTGACCAATGCACCGCATAACCGTCGTCCCAGGGCCTCAACAAGTCGGGAATATCGATTGAACCAAGTCACTGCTAGGGGCAAGCCAAAAGGAGACCGGCGCAAATTTGGTATGCAGGTTCCTGCCATTCATGATGGTAGAACACGACTACGCAGCCCAGGGTATCGCACTCCCTCATAGGAGAATGGCGACAGGCATCTGGCCAATCCTCGCCCCGGTCTCCCATGCGTCCGTCTGAGCTGCCAACTGTTGCTGGGCTGCCGTCATGGTGGCCATTGTAGCCTGGATATGTTGGGCAGGTCGCAGCACGGAACAAAGAACTAACTTGTTGAAGTCCGCTGAGTATTCTGTCTGGCCACCCTGGTCAGCATTGTCAATGATGCGCTGTTTCCCGGAACTCTGAGTGATGACGCAGCATGGGATTAGCCGATATGGTGCCGCATAGGCTGGGCGCTGAAACCTCTGTCCGCATCCTTGCAGGACTGCTCCAGCAAGAAGACGTCGTCCTTACCCGGTTTCAAGGTCCGGACCAGGGCAGCGTTGCGTCGCTGCCAATCCGTGAAGACCAGATCCAATGGGATAGGTTCCACCTCTTGCTGTGGGAAAACGCCGCATGGCCAAGATGTGGCCACGGCTGGCAGACCATACAATAATCCTTGTGGGTATTGTACATCCGGCCAGGACACCAGCATCAGCAATAAGGTTGTGAAACCCAAATCACGCTGGTGTGTAATGGCTCGCAGAGCTGTAGGCTGGACCTTGTTGAGGTGGCGGCCAACGCAGGCCCATCTCCGGCGAAGCTCCCTCAGCGCACCTGCTGCATGGGTACGCCAATCACGGAGTTTCCCTCTCAGCAAGCCAGTCAAGGTGGCTGGGCTGCTCTGTGGGTGCCCTCTGGCCAGTGCTGCCTGGAAGTGTTGCTCCGGATCCAAACCGAAGGAAAGCAATGGAAGCAAAGCTGCCTTCTGAGTCAAAGCTCCCGCTTGCTGCCCTTCTGTGCCCCTCATAGCCAGAGTCCCCCCTCACGTGCGGAGAACGTGTTAAATGGAGCAGCGTTAACCAAGTCCTCTACCATGGGAAAGACGAAGCCTGCGAAGAGGGGCTCTGCGAAGCACTTGGAAAAGCAGGCCACAACGCTCTCTTGCGACCAACGCATGGTCAATGCCTGAGGCAGTCCCTCTGCCAAAGACACCTAAGGGCTGTCTCCAGCCAGGGGGTACCCTCGTGGCCCGACGAACTGCCTTCTTGCTGCTGGAGGAGGTCGTGTCAAAGAGGAGTCCCGCCAGCACGTCTGCCTCGCACGGTTGGGACATGGGACAATCGCACACCAAAGTAAGGCCCTCAAGCTCATGCAAATCAGTCACTAGACCAGAAGAGAAGAGAAGCTGGGCATACAGGAGTAGCCAATCGGTGGAACGACAGGAATGACCTGGAATGTGTGGCGCTGACCATTTCGATCGTGGCCACGCCGGCGCAGCGCCGCGCACAGGTGCACTCGCCCACACTCCTCCTCCGAACCAGCCGTACAGGAATCCATCACATTGTAGGCCGCACAGAGTCCTCGGCCATTCTTGAGGTATGCCGTGAGGACCTTCCCGTTCACCGTAGGAGGCATAGGCATATGTGGGGTGCTCTTGGCCTTGATTTTCTGAGCAGCGAAAACCTTGGAGCGATTCCTGATCAACTTCAAGTGCTGCTTCAAAGCCTCCTTGGTGACCTGAGTGGCATACACAGTCTTCCGATCGGCCACAATAGCTGCATCCACAGCTTCAGTAGACGATTCCTGGGCATGCTGGATGTTCCCTTCTTCCACCTCATCCCAGTCGTCGTACTGCTCCACCTGATGGATGAAGTGGAGAGTCTTGAGCTTCACTCGCATCGACATGGAGTACCGGGATGAGGAACAATGAAGGGCCATCAAGGCTTCGGCTGGCAGTTTGGACTTGCTCTACCAATCACCGAGCGACTGAAGTTCCAAAGGTGCCAATCGCAAAAGCTGGCCCGCTGTGGGAAGGAGCCGGCGCCATGAGTAGGTCGTCAACTCCACCTCACTGCTCAGCTGCCCCTCAAAGCAGAGTTGCCCCGCTCGGGACACTTCCGTGATTCCTCAGGGGACGCCTCGCTGGTCAAAGCAGATGCCACTGTTCAGCTTCTTGGACCCAAGCTTCTTCCATAGTTCCAGCCAGGGTCGCGTCCAATTCCATCCACTCTTGAAGAGAGCAGGGGCTGCCCACCAGAAGCCTGCCCGGTTGCCCTTCTGCTTCCCCTTCTTGCAGAACCCGTGGAAGTAGGAGTCGGAGATCTTACGAACTGTACTCCGTAGGATGCGCTTGTACCTCAAGCACCCCGTTGCCACTAACCAGTTGCCCAATAAGCAAGTCCAACGAGGGTCCTCCCTCGGTACAGGGCTTCGATGCGCTCCTCCAGGTATTCTAACATGCCAGGTTCTGCCGTAGCTGCTTGACGGCCCTTCTTAGCGTGTTGCTTCTTCAAAGACGGATCTAACTGGACCTGTTGCACACCCCAGTCGACTTGGGCTTGTTTGCAAAGCCACTTCAAGGAGTTCAGAGATCTCGTAGGGGCTGTGGTACCTTCATGTAGGAATGCATCAATATCGACCAAAGAAGGCGGGAACTTCCTCTCACAATGGACCATATGTTGGAGGAATTCAGAGAAGGTAACCAAAGCATTCCGAATGGTTACTCGCTCCGCCCCAGCCTGCAGGGCTGTCGTCATCGTGCCCGCTGGTCGCAGGGCTCCCATTGACATGAATGATTGCTGGAGAGCCGTAACTTGGCGTTGGATAGCCTGTCGATGCTCCTTCTTGGCGCCTTGTAGGCTGACGGGCGCCTGGACAGCTGGGACCTCAGGCCTTCGCCTGGGCAATGGTGGCCGAGAAGATATGGTCGGGGCACATTCCGTTCGAATACTGGCGCAACTGCAGGAAGGAGATTGTCCTCCTGCTGGAATCGAACCGCCAGCCAATGATCCGCCAAATAGCGCCCACCGGCAGCAAATGCTCCATCCCAGGAGCTGAAGCGGAGGAGGACGACGGGCCATCCCCCGCCGCTTCCACCAAGTGTTGCACCTGGTCACGGTACGCCATGGCGGCAAGGGCGCTAACTGCTGTCAGAATCCATCGAGAGGCAGCGAGGACAGGATTCCACGGTTGGACAGCACTCCCAAAACAAACCGACCCCGCATCCGCAGGTCCTTTAGCCGGGGTCTCCACAAACGCAACATGCTGGCGGCAATGTGATTGGGTGCGTAGGTCTGCCATCACCCAATGACTCATACTCTTGGGCGCCAAGCCATCCACGGAGCGCCCGATGTGTGCGGATCTCAGTTGACAGGGAGTAGCGCCGTTCCCCACCACGGCGTCACTCGCCGGGGCCAAAAAAGTGCCTGGATCCCTCCACAGGCCCCTGTGCATGAGCCCCCAGGTATGGAGGTGGGCGAAAATCTCCTGCCGAGACGCCAACCAATGGTGCGACCAATCATACTCTGGCAGGCGGTTGAGGAACGCCCACAGATAGTCGGGCACAAAATCCTCGACTATACTTGAAGATGCCAATCGAGTGAGTTCCAGCAGGTCCAAGGTCGGCGCAGTCCCATGCCGCTCCCACGCTTGGGCTGCAGAGCTATACCCGGAACCACCACCATACCCCGGCGTGTCCAGGTCCCAATCCATGGAAACACGAAGCCCCCTCGGAACCCCATACAACGGGGGCACATGGAAATAGAACAGGCGGTGGTCCCCCCACCACACGAGGAGCTGGTGGGAAATGTTCGAACACCACGACGCTCTGCCAAAGAATGAAGGCTTGAACACGGCCCCCCGGTCCAAGCGGTCCTGAACGGCTTGGCGGAACTCCGCGAAGGCTGCGGCCGATATACGTGTGTCACTCACACGAGAGCTGGTGTGATCCCACACCGAACTTGAACAAAGGAACAGAAACTCCCCTGTCCACTTTTGGCTCTTGAGCTCTCTCACACGTACACTTCCATGTTATGGTACAACGCCCTGGGGATATTGCGTTGATATGTCCTACTCAGGACCTTCTCCTCTGGTTGCACCATCCTTTGCCACCAGGATGAGACAGCAACCAGATACGAAAACTCCCTCGCATCTGGATTCACAGAGGGGAGAGCCTGCTCCCCAGGCGACCACCACTGGATCAGGGACACTCCACCGGGAGGCCGTTTGTTAGGGTGGGAAGGGTGGGACAGAAACTCCCCTGTCCACTTTTGGCTCTTGAGCCAAAATATGACATGGGAGCTACGATGATGTTTGTGCACCCTAGCCTGCCCAAGCTCTACACAACTATATACCTTCAAGGTGCGTGAAAGGTGGTGCAAAGAGGTGTAATTAATGTTTTCGTCATCAAAAAAGACAGTTCGCAACCATTTTCCTTCCCCTTCAGAAACCTCAGGCATTGGATAGCCTTAGCAGGCTCCGCCCCATCTTCTGCAAGTTTCTTGAGTAGTTTCTTGCTGATGCCCTTGGGGAGATCACGAAGGTGGCCTGCATGGGTGGGCACTGGCCACAAGTTGTGCCGGCTCAGCGGCTCCCTCCACGTCTCTGCAGTGTGGCACTTCTGCAGAATCAAGTGCACGTGGTAGTACAAAGAACCCTCTCCTTCCATGACCTGACAGGTGAAAATGCGGCAGGTAGAAAAATGCAGAGAGGAACAGCTAAGGCAACACCTTTCAAAAAATATGTGTTGTATTGCGTTGTACCGCAAATGTAAAGGCATACCCAAGCTTTAGCTAAATAAATTTTGGGCCCGGCATGACTGCTTCAAACTGTTTTCAGATGCAACCCGCCCTGCCACCCTGCCGAGGTGAAACAAGGTTGCGACCAACATCAAGAACATCCGACCTACAGAAGCAACAACCTCGCTTGCAGAAAGCCGTCGGGCGGCGCATGAATTCGTGAGCACGATGACCATTTACAAAAAATGTTCACGATGACTACCTGTTCATCCCCTCAAAGTTGAGATCCAGTTTTTGCATCGCTACTAGTAGCAAGAACGCTACTAGTAGCTCCTGGCATTACTATATAGGAAAGCTCAGGCCGTATCTTTTTCCACCAGGATGTAAGTTCTGTGTGCTGGTGGGCCTAGCTCTTTTCAAGCTGTCGTGACCCACCACAACATGGAGAAGAAGCAAAGTGTATTCACTTCACTCTCCTACTGCCAGGAAAGTACAGGCCATATCTTTTTCCACCAGCATGTAAGTTCTGTGCGCTGGTGGGTCTAGCTCTTTTCAAGCTGTCGCGACCCGTCTAGCCCATCTGGCCCCTGAGTGGGGCACCGAGGCCTTGTTGCTTCAAAAGAAGGTTCCACGTCTTCACAGGGAAACCATTCTCAAAAAAAAATTGAACAGGTCTGCAGGACCAGCGGAAAAGCTTCCATCGCGGTGAGGATGGTGGATCTGGCACGTTCCGAAATGTCCGTCATGAATGTTGCTGCTGCGACCTCTTGGAGGTATATGCTCATGACTTTCAGTGACAGCCATCTCCCGCGCCGCTGGACCAACTCAGCCGATTCTGCAAGACCAACGAGCCTCCAGGCCCAAAAGAGGCCAGTGTTAATGGCTTCTGTTGGTTCGCTGTCTTGGTCGGTAGGCCGAGTCTGGCCAAGATCTTGTCCAGGCGGTGCCTCAGAGTGGATGAAGAACCAGGCCAGATCATCTCATCTGGTCTAAGGTGTCCAACACCCGTGCTGTCAAGGTGCGGTCTGGAGGCTCCAGTTTGCTGGATTGATGCCTTGCCGCCCTAAAGCAGGTTTTCGGCTCAAGGATCTTGAGAAGAACGTGGTCGATGGAGAAGGAGAGATCTTGTGGAAAAGTGACGTCCCTCCTCCTGGCATTGGGCAATTCTCCAGGCCTCAACAACATACCCCAGCATATCGCAAAGATGGCAGCTTCACGCGGCTTGAAAAGGCATAGCCGTGTGGTGCTCAACAGGCTCAAAAGACGTCCACATTGCACAAAGGCCCCATGCCTGTTGCAAAGACCTTCGAAGGACGCACTGACCAAGTTAATGGTCCCTGACAGATGGTAGTACGGCTTCCCACTTGAGAAAAGGAAACGGCCGTACTTGGTAAGCATACTGTTCACCTTGTCCAGATCTTGGGCGTTGCTCATGAAGACGGTCTCAAAGGAGGTGCCCTCGCCTCTCAGCCAAGCATTAAAAGCCGATGCAAGTTGACTGCGGATCGATGTCGTGAGTTGGGTCACCCGCCTCGAAGCATCTCCATGGCTCGCGCTAACTGCCCAACCTCGGTCCGCAGAAGAAAGGGTGATTACGAGCCTAACTAGTAAGTGAATCAGGAGACCCTCTCCAGGAAATCCAAGGGTGGCATCAAAGTCCACGCAGTGAGGCAGACAGGCAGAGATTGAAAATCCATACCTTCGAGCACAGGAGGGATCCGCAAAGAAAGGGGTCCAGGAAGGGGCATAAGCCTAAGGAAAGCCTGAGCCAGTTTGCGGTCCACCTCCGGAGTCCAGCCATCGAAGCTCCTCATCTGTCCACTTGGCAAGACCTCCAAGAGCGGTTCAGGGGTCATAGCATCTCTGGTAGTATGATCTGCTGGGTTCAGTCGGGTAGGAGCATATCTCCCCGTCTCATAGATCCCATAGGCAAGCATAAGTGAACTTGTTGAGTCTCAGCGCCGACAAGGAGCTCCTGCCTCTGACCAAAGCACACAAAGCAACATTTGAATCAATGAGATCAACGAAGCGTAGGTCACCCCCTCTGATCGCCTCAGCTTCATGAGCCCTCAATGCTGCAGCCGCTACCAGGATATTAATGTGTGAAGATTCTCTCCACTTCCAGCTTGAACTGACCCTCCATCTTGACTGAAGAAGGACCTCATATGTAAGCAAGTCTTCCAATCCATTACGTTCAGGGCCATCAATGGTGGTGTCTGTTGCAATGGCATGAAGATGCCTAGCAAAAACCTTCGCTAGTGCGACAGCAAGCCCATGACAGTAGGCGGGGCGCTCGGTTTTGTGATCTTTTTAATTAGTTCTGATACGCTGATGCTGTCGGGAGCATTTCTTAGCCAGCGAAGAGGCTCTCATGCAGACCGTGAGGAAGCAGAACTCCTTTTAGTGTGGAGAACCATACTCACAAGAAGCTAGATGAACCGCTTGAGCTCTAAGCTGCACCAGCTGCTTCCAGTGAGGCGTCCATCGGAGCTTCGATCTTCGAGGTGTCTCCATCATCCCGGGCAAGCAGGTCCTCTTTGCAACCAACAAAAGGCCCCCGCAAGAAAATGTCATACAAATGCCATGAACGACACGTGGACGACGCGGGTCCAGGCCAAGAGGCTGTTGGTATGTCCTCAGACAAGGATGAGCTGCCGGGCTAAAAGTAGTGCAACGGGGAGCAGCCAGAAACGATCGAAGCCTCCTCTCCTCCAACATAAACGCGAGCCAGCTGAACACTCTCCGGTCCGTGATGTCATACCTTCTGGAGAAGCTCATATCAAACACCGGGCCGCATCTCGAGCCAAGCTTGACGAGCTCTGCTGTAACAGCCCCTGCTCCTCCGCACAGCTCAATAAAGCCATAGTCGAGGCCAAGGGGACGTGAAGCCCACGCTCGCCCTCTTCTTCAACCTCTTCATGGAAGGGGTCCTTGATTCTACAGAGGGCATATGTGCGGCTTTGCAACTTGGGATTTTTTGCCTTCTTCTGGGCAGTTCTCCAAAGCGAACGCGATCCTCCCTTCAGCGTTGATGCATCTGAGGCATAGAACGGAGCAGCGATGTTGGAGGCTGCCAACGGCTTAAGGCAGGCCAGAATCAGCATCTCTTTTGCAGCACCTCTTTTCAACGGCCTCATCTTTGGAGAATCAGGGTCCAGGCTATCATGACCCATGACCTGGAAAAGTTGATGTGGGCCGTCATAGGTCTTCTGTGTAAGAGCGCAGAGATCCAAGATCCCAACAGGGATGAGTGAAAGGCATCTGAAGTGTATGGAAGGTTCGCGGCAGAAGCCGTCAGCATCATCAATCCAAGCGTAACCCGCCCACATGATGCCATCTGCTCAGATGAGTTGACCTCTGCTCCAATTACCTTGTAAACCAAAGCATCTGAAACCTCCTGTCATCAGGCCCAATAATGCCTTCTTTAGCATAGGCCTCCTTTGCCTTGGTCAAGAAATCCTTGGACGTGCTATCGCCAGCGTAGGAAGCTCCTCTGGCAAAGGCAATGTCTTGGCCTGTCACCGGCTTGTTGTGCACAACCGCTTGAGAAGCACAAAGCCTACTCTCAGCAGGATGCCAGCCCGCATCTGCCAGCATTTGGGCATGAGCACAACAAGCAAACTCCACTCCAAGATGATCGCCTTGCAAAAGTGCTGCAATTGCCGCATAGACTGGAGTATCATCGTTACACTGAACCAGCAAAGGTTTGGGGACTCCCAGGAAGTCACCTTCGGTCTCTCTATTTCAGGCCTTCTTCTCACCAAAAACAGCAATGAACTGCTTGTACGCATTGGTGCCCTTGACATCCCGGAGCTCCCAGGCAGGAAACACGGCGTTGGTGGCCGAGGGCTCATAGGAGACAGAGAATTGATGGTAAAAATCCCGGCGGTCTGCAACTGACCCCACAAGGACCTCCCTATAGCGCCTTGGTCTCGAGCTGTAGGGGCGCTGTAGCATTTGGAATGTCATGGGAGGGTCCATCAAAGATCTTCTTCTGCCACGGCGATCTCCTATTTGACGGTCCACCTTTGGGTTCTTGTAGTTCCCAAACACCTTGGTATGCAAATGGGCTTCAGTAGGAGACTGCCCAAACTTGAGGGACCAGAACCAGGAGGTTGTTCACATCCCATACCTTGCAAAGCTCATACGTCTGTTCATGGTCGGAGCCCTGATCGGGCAGCTGGGACACTGGAGGGAAGATGTCAAACCTGATCACTCCGTGCTCGACAAAGGGCATGTAGAGCAGGTCAGACAGGAAATCCTCTTAGTGCCAGTGAGCTTGATCCTGGCAGCATCTAGGGGTCGGTTGGGCCTGAGCTCATCACAGGCCTCATTGTCAACAGGTACATCGTGGCCAGCAGCTCCACGATGGTACACTGACGTCGGATTGAGCGCAAGGCACCCAAAGCACCTTCGAGTTCCCTCAACCTTGCATCTAATTGGAACTTTTTTCGTCCACACCCAGAGGCAGAAATTTGCTCCGGGGGGCCGCACGCCTTGAGAAACATCTCAACTCGCTCAGAGACTTTGCGATGGAGTTCGCTGGGACGTCTCCCCGGAGGAGCAGTAGCATAGAAAAAGGATTCTTGAAATACGCCTAGTTTCAAAGTCATCACCATGATGTGAACCAGCTTCTTGCAATCACAAACGCGCCTTCCCTTCTGACTGCTCAGGTCCGGGCCCACTCCAAAAGCATGAAACAAGGCGGCAGCAGTGCTGTCATCACGACCACTGCGCCTGGTGGAAATTGTCCTCATCATAAAATAGGAGAACCGAGTTTTGGCCCCCCAACACCTGGCGCAGAAAATGGCGAACCCAACTCTCAAAAAGAACTGCTTCTCTTCCAGGGGCAATGCACCAAATTCATTCATGTCACTGTCAGCCCTCTTGTGCTTTGGATAGTTCGTCCCTCCTAAAGCACAACTGTAGGAAGAGCTACTCATAGTCTTTGCATCCTTTTTACCACCTGGCACGCTGCCACATTCAAAAGGCATGCCTCATAGATTGTAGGCGCACACTCCCGTGCCTCAACATCACAACTGCCACTCTTGAAGGTAGAAGCGTCCTGCTCCTCATCCTCCTTTCCCCTCTCTTGGCGCCCCCCGACCGGAAATAGCGGGAATCCGCTCTGAGGTAGAAGAACCCAGCAAAGGACTACTAAGAGAGGTACGATATCCCTACCCATTAATCTCTACACCCCTCTTCAACAAATCCAGCGCAGACCACACTCAAAAAGACGTGGGCGTGAAAAGGCTTGAGCGGCGGAAAGTGTATTCACTTCACTCTCCGACTCCTACTGCCAATACTAGGAACAAAAAGCTATTAGTAACAAGGGCACCACTACTAGTAGCAAGAGCAAGACCACTAGTAGCAAGAAGCTACTAAGTGTGTAGACCTTTCTAGTCACCAATCTTGGCCCAAATTCCATTGGCAAGCACGGGGCTCTTAGGCGTACTGTATACACACGCGTCACGGCGACGCGGTTGCACACGCACCCCATTAGTAGAGGCTCGACTTTGAGTCTCCATCACAGTCCACTACACCCAAACAGGCTGCCTTCTTTGCATATGCGACTACAACTATTAGCGTTTATTTGGCCGGCTCTCAAGTATATATAAAATGTTTTTTGGGAAGGGAAAACTGGCTCGAGCGAGAAGTTTCTACAAGAACACGCGCAGAAGGTTCCCACAAACCAGGCTGTTCAGGAAACAAGTACAGGAAAACACTTTTCTTTAGAAAAGGAACGGTTCACCATCACATGTCACATCACTTAGAGGGTGTCTACTTCCTTTTGCGAACTTCCGCCCGCCGGCTCTGTCCGAAGGTTCAAAAAATTTTAACCCCTATAGGAAGTTTCAAGCACTTTACTTTCGAGCGGCCTCATGGTATGAAAGTCCAACAATCTCCTCCTCCGGCCCCAGGTAGAAGGAGAATGTCTGGGTCTGCTCTTCTTTGACTCGCTTGTCCGGAGCCAGCTTTAGGACTGAATGGAGGCCAACGTCGCCTTCTTTCAACTCCAATGAGACGAGCAATCCGAAGTCCGTAGTCAACCTCATCCGGCCGTTCGGCTCATACCCCAGCTCCTTGGGCCAAACGATCTTGGCGACCACCTGAATCCCTGCACGGGGTTGGTCCTGTAGAGACAACCTTGCAAAGCTGACTCAAACCGATGGGATCACGCGAAACCAAAAACACAATTAAAACACAGCTAATGAGTGAACATGATGTCTTTCCATACCTTTCCGTCAAGCAATCGCAGGAGTTGCTTGTAAGGCTCTGCCTTTGGAACCGGGGTTCCATTTTGCATCTGGCATTCCACTGTTCTGTGGCCCCCGCAGATAATACTTGAAGCTTTTTGGGCTGGGAATGGCTGGGGCCATCAGACTTCAATTTCATCAGATTTCGCGGAGCGGGGTGAGTGCGTGTTCGAAGATTAGCGTGGCCACAGTTGAGGCACACCGAACGCGGGTGACTTCTTACATGGCTCAAAAAACCGTTCTCAGCGGCTACGTTGTGTTGTGCTGCTGGCCACCTGTGTACGCTCACAAAAGCCTCTGCCTTTGGAACCAGGGTTCCATTTTGCATCTGGGGTTCCACTGTGAAGTCTTCCATGTGGCCCCCTGTGCCTGCCGCAAAATCTGGCCCAACATTGCCCAAAATGGTCCCATCAAATGCTGCGCCTGCTGCGAGTTCTGATGACCCAACATGCTGCGCCTGCTGCGAAGTCTGATAGTCCATCGAATTCTGCGCCTGCTGCGAAATCTCATGGGTCCAATGCGTCCATCGAATTCTGCGCCTGCCGCATTCGGAGCGCCCGAGCGTCCCCGCTCAAAACATCACCTTTGTATGCTCCCTAGCTGGAATGATAATGACCTCTCAGAATCCTCAGCAGGATCCACCAGAAAGAAGGGCCAACGTTATCGAAAAACTCAATGGCTCGAGCATTGATTGCATCACTCGGGTACGCGACATTCGGCGCGACTTGGCTCCCGTCGACAGGCGCATAGCCAGAAGTTGCCACCCTGCCCCTCTCACTCGCCCTGGACATGCAAGGATCAGGCTCTCCATTGGCCGAAGTCCAGACCCAGCCGCAGACGTCTTGGGAGCGATCGGCAACTGTAAGACGATCCGGATGGAGTGGATCGACGATCTTCCTCATCACTGGGTCGTTTGGGCATAGACTTCACAGCAAAGAAGCTGTATCTTCTCCATTCATAGACCCCATCCACATCGCTATCTCCGCCTTTCAGCCAGTTGTCCGTCACCGTCTTCTTCAACCAGGGACCACGACCTTCAGGGCGATAGAACACAACAGGAGCTCTCCCTGATGCCACTTGGTCCATGCGTGGAGAATGGAGTACCTCGATGGGTGGGATGAAACAGTCGCGCCTTGCGCAAAATGCAAACCCACCAATCGTTGCCATCTTCTGATGAATGTGCGCTCCCAGCGGTCTGGTGAGAACGAAATCCAGGAGTCTGACGGTCTCCACGACCAGCCACCGCACACAAACGCAGTGGAGTTTCTTGCGATGGCTTCGAGGCCAATGTCGGCCTCGATGACATGATGCATAATGTGGTGAAATGACCTTCTCAGGGTCTGTCTTGATGATGATGGTGATTGGGTCGGGTTCATTTTCACTCGACCATCTTGATTCGACATTTTGTGGTGGGCCAGAAGGTGACTTGGATGGGTGAAGGAGCGCCATGACTTGGAGCTTCCACCACTTCCTGCTCTTTGGAAGGAGCCTCGGCAGATATCTCCAACTCGGCCAAGGGCTGGTGGGAGGAATCGTTGCGCCGCCCATCGGAGGTCGGGCAACTGTCGAACCAAAACGTTGGCACCCGGCTGGATTTGGCCCGTTTGGTCCCACCCTTCAGGACCTGGGCTATGTCCTTCAAGAAGTGAAGGGGGTCAAGTCCATGGCACACCGGGTCGAAGAATTCAGGGGAAGTCCTACCTCAAGCTCCGGCGCAGAGTGTTGATCCAGTTCTGAAGGGCTTGGATGGCAGTTCCGGGGCCACCTTCTCTGAAGTGGCGGGCGTGAGACGGCCGAGTGAGAGCACGGAGGTAGCTTGTTTGAGATGGCCCAAGGCCAGGCAACAAGATGGACAGGAGGGTGCAACCCCGGAAGCTGAGTTCCTTGGCCGCCGGTTCAGGGCAAAAACCAGCAGGTCGCCCAGGAGGAGGTACAGGATGTTGTTCCGGTGCACTACCACTACGATTTCCGCTTGACGCCATCTTGAACAATTTAGCATCCCCCGCCTCTCTGCCCCCTCTGATTTTTCCCATTTCCCTTTCAAAGCTCTCTTCCGCTTCCCTCATGATCTGAAGCGTCAGAGAACCAATGGCATCCTGAGCCAGTGTAGAAGACAATCGCCCCTCCAACACCCAAGCCTTGACGTGGCTCACTGCCTCGTTCTGATCAACCCCAGAGCTCCAAATAGGTTCAAAACGGGTTCAACGGCACTTCCTCCAGTCTCCTAGGTGTTTGCGCTACACCCGCTTCCACCAAAGAGCCCTCCGGGAACAGCGGGATCCATGCCAGGCGCAAGATGTCCTAAAAGCCCTGGCGCGTGAGGATGATGACCTACTGCGCCATCATATAGAGCGCCAAGCCAACCGCAGAGCCCGCATTGTCTTCAGGCACCCTTTCCAAAGTCACCATCTGTGAAGTTCTAATAGGCTTCATGGATTTTTCTGCACCTTCGGCCTCAGTTGGACGATCACACACAGCAGGCGCAGGTTCTTGCGCTCCACCAGGTCGAAGAACAGTAGGAGGGCCACCGGCAGATCGACTTGCTGCCGCTGACAACGACCTTGTCGGGCTGGGGTCCTCTGAATTGGTCCGTCTCCCTTCCTTCCCGATCAAGGCGTCAAGCCTGCGGTCCGCTGCGATCACCTCCACCTTCATAACGATCCGCTGGCGCTTTTTGCCGTCGCCTCATTGTGGAGAGCGCCATGGGATGCACCTTGGGCTCATAACCTGTTTGTACACCGGTGGTCAGGGTTCAGCATCACAACACAACGTAGCCGCTGAGAACGATTTCTTGAGCCATGAACGAAGTCACAGGTGTTTGGTGTGTCTCAACTGTGGCCATGCTAACCTTCTCTTCGAAGACATGACTGCAAAAAGAAAGCGAACAAGCAGCTTGAAGTTGCAAAACTGACGTTTCGGCGCATCACAAGGTCAAACAAGAATGGATTTCCCTCCGCACTGCGCACTAGGCATGGTTGTGACGTCAGTGTCAGGAGGCGGCTACAAACAAGCCACAACTGTGTAATGCCGAACGAGTACGGTCCCGATGCCGGTGCTAGTGGCTTGGCGGACGGATGCTCATGCTGGTGGCGGCGCTTGTGCAGTGATGCTGCTGAGGGTTTCAGCCTGTCTTAAATGGCATTGTGCTGTGCATATGGAAGTGCGACCCAGCCTCCAAAATCATGTCTTGTTTAACTGGGATAACGATCCGCGTGTCAGGGATGCTTTCCTCTTCATTCTTTTCATGTGTCTTGTTTTTTCCTCATTCCCCAATCCTTTGTTATCTTTTTCCTGCACCTGTCTGAAGGAATACTTGAATAGAGCGGCCAATAAAACATCCGTCATTGAGGGATAATCCAACCTGTGGACGCCGTCCTTGTTCCCATACAATCATATAGTCAATCACTTACATCCCACTAATTATCCTGGCGAGGATGTGATGGTATGTTGTATCTTAGTCTCTTACGTCAAGCTTCGACACCGGGGGGATTGGACACCCGGCGTTGAAGCACTGTTGTGGCTGAGGGCTCACGGCTCGTGATACTTTAATCAAGTTCCTTGCTTTTCTGTGATGTAGGCGGTTGTGGCTGTGCTTTCCGTGCACCTATCACCACGCAAACTAGGAGAGGTAGCAGTGGCGGGCAGCAGAGTGGCTGTGTTGCGTGGGTGTAGTAGTTGTTGTGATGCTGCTAGTGGGTAGGAGTGGTGCCTCCACATTGTGCTGATGTCATGCAAACATCTCTCTTGGTCAAAGGCGCTGTCACAAAGGGCTGTCCCCCATCATGAAGAATCATACTTACAGCCCCAAATTCATGACTATTGTCGGATGATTCCGCGTCACTCAATGCATTATTATTGCAAAAGTGATCAAAAGTGCAAGGTGAACTCAGGCTACTTTTCATGACAAGTGATTGCCCTACCACACTCCAAGCCCAAATTTGATGCCGAATTAATGGCCAAATCGCAGCGGTGCTTCTTCATCTTCCAATTCAATCTCCACAGCTCTAGCATCACCACCTCATCTACCCGGTCAAGAACCACAAACGCCAATCTCTTTCTTTTCATTGTTTCCTGGCACTTCACATGCCAAAGACCCAACAATTCCCTTGCTTCTAGAAAAAGTCTAATACACACCATATTTTGTTCATCAAACACGGCTTGTCAAATGACGAAAGTTGAATGCTTGCCATGCGTTAATATTCGTCTGCCAGAGGTCTATCTTCGTACATCCATTCATTCCAATGAGATTGCACGTAAACATGGTGCATAAAATTGCATAGGCATCCCAATAGTACGCATGGTCACCTACTACTCACGTTGTGTTTCAGTGTGCTCGAATTTGACTGCAGCTCGTGGAAAGCACGACTGCACCTTCTCTGAGTGACTCAAATGATGTGGTCAATGCTCCTTTACGTCACTGTAACTTGTCACTTCTCTGTTTTCTTTGTGCGAGTAACAAATCCGTGCCTCTTCTCTATCTGCTTGCTGCTTCATGGGCTCCGGTTTAATGAACATAAGTAGGTTATGTTTTCGGTTGCATGGACTCATGGTAAGCACGATGAACGATGAGCTTGAATTCTTGGTGCCCGCCTTTCATCTGCAACAGTTCTGCGGCATGCCAGAACTAGTGTGGGCCTGATGCAAGCCCTGCATTCAAACTTGCCACGGGCAATTTGTCCAGGCTTGGTAGTTGAGGCATGCATGTTTGAAGTACAGTCCTACGGGCGGAATCGAGAAAGCGCAAAATTCAGCCACAAAAAAATAACACCCTCTCCCAATCCTTGCTGTTTCAAAAAATGCGTGTGTTGATGGTAGAATGTGTTTTTCAAGGTCCATGTCCATTTCAACACTACATCTTTACATGGTTGTACAATGTTTTTTGCACCGCAGCGCTGTTCTTAGGTGAGATAAGAAAATACCGCCCTACAGTGGCTTCAATGTAGAAACGAAGGGGCCGCCAACCACAAATACACGCGTGTATATAAATATCATATATATATATATATACTATATGCGTGATTTAGGAACCACTGGAACTTGAGGTCGAAGGGGGCTTTCGTTAGCTAGGACAATCGGTTGCAAGTTAGTGCGTCAAGGCGAAAAAACGAGGTTCGAAGACGCAGCGATGCCCAAAAGCGTAACGCCAGCTTACAGTTCTCTTGTATCGGCCATTTCTCAAATGCCCTACTCAAAGAGGTGACTTGTCTGAGTGGGAGGTGCGATGAAACGAGGAGGAGGAGCGAGTGAAAGGTTGTGTCCAGACCTCAGGCCCTCCCTTGCTAACACAACACACTCAGCCAGCTAACGCCATCGCTTTCGTGATTGGTCCACTTTGAAAACGGTCAGATCGCAGATCGACCGTCGACCGTCGGAAGAAAGGCTGGTGGAGTGCCCGGAAGAAAGGCTGGTTCGCCACTTGTGGCTCTCAAGTTGGTATATTAGTCCCATGGTGGTCCCAGTCACCCATGACTCCCACCAACTCTCTGCAAAGAAACGTTCGGACTTTTGCTGCTTCCACCGCTCCCAAAGGAAAGAGCCTGCAGTCGCATGAGAGAGTCATATTCGGCCAGCACTCTACATCCAAATGTTCTGACTCAATGATGCATGCGGTCGTTGGCAGCCACCGTTTCAGTGCAATGGTCCAGTTTGCTGATAGTTGGATTGTGACTGCCTGCAATCGCCTGTGGTCCCGTAAACATCCGGATCCTCAATCCTCGCTACAATATGTAGGTTGTCCTCAGATCTCCTATCTAGTACCAGTACCAAAGAATGTGCGGTGACAAATGATGCAGCGTGCACGCCTCGCAGCTAGCCGATACCAAGGGATAAGCCAAAAACATCCAAAAACAGCAACGACTGGGACCCCAACGTTTCTCTGAAGCGAGAGGTCCTGGCTCGCGCGCAGCAGTTCCACGTGCGCGGGAGGTCATGAAACGCCCCATAGCCTCAGCAAGCAGTGGTTGACAAGACATCAAGAAAGCTAGAGGTTCTGGAATGGCCAAATGTGTTTTGAGATAATTCAAGTCATTTCACGCTCAACTTCCGTTAGTTCCTTGAAGTACTTGCTCTCTCTCTCTCTCTCCCCATCAAGCCGTGCGGCCGAAAAGAGGCCAGTGTCAGGCCCCCGCAGATACGTCAGGACTTCTGGGTGAAACGGAGTGAAACGCCTGGATTGAGCCCAAAACCCGGCCAAAGGACGCTCGGAAGGTCTGTTCGGTCGGATGGGCCGATCTGTTCTTGACCCCGCTCTGCAGAACGCTTCAAAGGCGTCACCAGGCATGCAGCGTTCTTGCTTCCAAAAATACCTTCAGCTTTGGGGTTCAAGAGCCCGAGAGCGTCCCCAAACGCCAAATCCAAAGTCTCCACCCTTTTGTGGAGGTTTTTGCAATCAGCGTCTGCCGAAAGAGAGGTGCCTTTGAACGACGGACTTGACTGACTCTCCTGCCTTTCTCGTGCGCTGCGCACGGGGACCAGCCGCTTGGAGCGGAGCGGTCGCGAATTCTAGCCGGAGGGAGGCCGGGGCCACTGAGAACTTAAACATCTGAAAGCAACATGTATGGAGAACAAGAAAAGCTCTTGGAAGCACTCCTGATTGACATCCGGGAGTCGGCAGTAAAAAATGCTTCGACGGCACGAACGTTCGCCACGACTTCAGCTGTGCAACAACGAAGAAACCACTGGATAAACCTCCACCAGTCTTCAAAGTAAACCCCCGTAAATTACACCTCAGCTTTGATCCACCACTTGAGAGGCATGTTCACTTGCCAAGCTCTTGACCCACATTGACCTCACTGGCCGCTGCCCTCCTGCCCAAGGGTGCAGACCGCCCACGTTTTGGGCAGCGAAACCAATTCAAGACAGGCCGGATGCCGACCGCACACAGCGATCGAGTGGGGCCAGTCGATTCGGCGGCGGGCTTTTTCGTCGCCGCTCAGGTTGGTTCTGGCCCGACCTTCGACATGCTTGGTTCGCTGGGCTGTTTCGGTGTTCGCATGCTGCAACTACAACTATATGAATCCGAGTCAGTCGAGCTGCAAAATAGAGAGCATCAGTTGCTACGCACGGGCCGGGCGAGCATACTCCAGCAAATCCAGTAGGAGAAACCGCCAAGCCACCACAGCGCGCTCCGATCGCCTGCGGAAATGGTCACTTTTACGGAGGAGCTTCAAATCCTCCGGGGTAGCTCAAACCACAGGAAAAATGGAGGTGTCACTCATGAAAATTGGATGGTGGGAAACTGACTTGAACTGCCGCTGGTACACACTCCAGAGTCAAGTAACATAAACCGAGGTCCAGCGCCAGCATCTTGAAATGCATCTAGCGCCCTCAGTATTGGACCTTTGCATGACCTAACCTCAAATGTGGGGGCTTTTTTGCGAAGCCCCTCTTGTGATTCTAGTAACTTCGAGCCTTCTCTCCGAACACTACCTGGCAGTACTAAACTCACTAGGCCTCGCCAACAAAACCAGGCGCCCAACTACCAGGTGCCATACCCCACCACCGCACCCATGCCATTTCTCACACACCTGGAGTGCAGGCCATGCTCGGTCAGGGTGCGCCATCCACGGGCGCAGGCCAGCAAGGCATCCTTGGCCCGACCTGAGGGCCATCGGACTGTGGTTTTTGAGCCCCTGAGGCTGGAAGACTGTGGTGAATCCAGGTCAGCAAGGAGGCAACTATGCAGTGCAGCCAAAGACCATCTAAATACCACATGCGAACCAGCGACCCCACACATCCGGCGAACCTAGGAGACCTGGAGAACCTGGAGAACCTGGTGGATCCAACGTTCGGAGCTTTGGGGAGGAACATGAAGGGGTCGAGCTTGTTGAACAAGGGATTCTCTGGAGGTCTGTTCGCTCCGCGGACAGACCTGAACCTGAAGACCACGGCCACTAAGACTTCCCAAGAAGCCTTCGTCCTTAGCCGTTTGGGCTAAGGACGCACTTCACCGAGGTCCCAAGTGGGCCGAGGAACGCCGCTCGCCCTGGTGAGCTCTCAACACATGAAGCCAACATCTCAAGCAATGCTTCAGCACGCCTGCGACTGAAGCCGTTGATGTGTGCTACTAATAGCAAGAAGCTACTACAGTAACTAACTAGGTGGAGGCCATGGCTAATTGGTTGGAGGCCATCACTACTAGTCACAAGAAGCTGCTAGTTAGCGACCACGTTCGTCGGACATGCCTTTGGACGTCCGACATCGGTGCCACGCCGAGCCCTCGAGCCCTTCGGACGGGCCCGGGAGCCCGTGGTGCGTCTGGCCGCTTGGAATCCCCGGATCCTGGATCCTCGTGAGCACATCCGTCCCTGGAAGAAAAGTTTGACACGTCTTGGAGCACGCCTGGCTCTCTCTCTCTCTCTCTCTTTGGTTCATAATTTTTGGGGGAACGCGCCACTGATGCACTGATGAACGATGGCTGCGCCTGCACTTCGCTGCGCCTCCAGGTGCCAAAGCTGACCCCGCTGCTCGGCGGCACGCGCTGTGCGCTGGGCCCAGAGGACAAAGGCCTCAAAGCGAGCCACGGATCTGGTCATCTGCCAGTGTCAAACCCAAACACTCCATGGGACTGCCAGTCCGGACTGCCAAGAAACGGCCAGGGGTGGTTGACTGGGGGTCAATTGATTGGCATAAATGGCAGTCCCAGACAGGGTGTCTGGGAGATGCACTCCCTTGAACTCAAATGGAAAGTGGAAAGCCCCCCCGGTGTTAGTCTTCGGAACATGGGCCGTCCAAGTTCCCAAGAGGGACCCCTGTATGCTCAGCATTTGCGGGGGTGTCCGTTGACAGGGTCTTTTTCGGCATAACCGGAGCAACGGACCAACCTGGGAGTCCTGGACCTCCGCATCAGCACACGGAGGCCGCTCGCCGCGCGTGTCCGTGGATCCTATGGGTCGATTGATGGGGCCTGGTTGCTAGGCCTTGATCCCTAAAATAGCGAAGTTCTTGTTGACCGACGGCTCTATATATATACAGGTAATAGGAGGGTCCCCCAACACATGCCGCATCACATGCCGTTTCAATGGCTCTGGGTGCTTCTCACCCCCGTCAACGTCTCTCGGCCCGTAAGTCCCATGGCGATCACCGGCATAGACCTCCCAAGGATCGCCAGGCCTTGACTTGACTTGCCCCCGTCACGGGACTCACATGTGTCCGCCACCCCTGATAGGTCATCAATGAAGCCGTGATGGGTAGGGGACAACTTCCAAACCTCATGTGACTGCAAGTGTTTGGAAGACCCTGTCAGCTTCCTTTCAAGGAAGCTCCGAAGAACCCAAGCAGCCAAATCTCGCAGCTGCTCTCTGGTCTTGGCAAGAGCCCTGGCGGAACCGAAAGGATGTGTCGAAGTCTGCATGGGTCGACCGGTAGACCCGCATGGAGATGAGCCACCCAAGCTTGTGCTGGATGGAAAGTGGGGATGTTCGATCAGTAGGCCCCTCAATGAGGAGCAACCACACAAGTCAGGAACCCACAAACAAAGAAAACTTGGCAACGGGAGTAAACCCTCCACAGCAACAAGGGGTGTCAGGCGTCACGAGTTGCTCCCATATCGCACCACCGATCATCACCTGCAAGACTGCCAGCCCCCCAAGTGATAAAGTGCTAACAATTCGTCATGTGGCCACAACGGCGCTTCAATCCATTCGCTTTCTGCGCACCCTGAGAGGCATGCGAACTGCCAACGTGCACCCTTGATGGTCCGCACGGATCCTCAGTGCCCATCGACAGCCAGGCCACTGGAGCAAATGCTCCGCAGCCCTGCGCCGCAGCCCCTCGCGCGCATGGCCGTGGCCACGCCAGGCTGCCATGAAGGGCCCCAACACGCGCAAGGCACGGCCTCAGGGCCCCACACATGAAGCTACTAATAGATAGAAACCTGCTAATTATTCAGTGTTGGAAATACCTTGAAAGAACAACTTGATGCTTCTGGTTGGCACCGCCCCGGCGGCAGACAGGGCACGTGAGGCAGCACGTGAGGCACGTGCAGTTTTCTCTATGTTATGAACATGCTGCTTCAGTCCTTTGGAGGGCAGACGTTTAGCTCTCACACCGAATCTCTGGAAGCCATCCGCCTTTCAGGCACAAATCCCTCTCGACTGCTAAATTCAGCTCAGCAACACCTGCAGAGAGACGCTAGGGCCGCTAGGCTTGAAGTGAGGCTGATTTCAACCCAACTCCGGCACCACGCAAGCTGAAAAACACACACGCAAGTCAGGTCTAAAAAGGCACTGGTTGGGGAGGGCAACTGTTGGCACACACCTAGTGTTTTCTTTACATAGCAGTTTGCATTGCTGATGTTCCAGGTGCCCGTCGATTCTCCCACTGCCGTGCCCAGGAGCCGTGACGCTCCTGCTGCCGGTGCCGAAGCCAACAGGTCCACACGACCTCGCGGCGTGAGTTTCGCACACCGGGCCCCACTGGACGGGAGTTCCAGCCACACTTCAAAACTGGCGCCACTGTGTGCTTCTGTGTGCTTCTGTAGAACGTTTTGACTTGAAAACTGCCTTCTGCAGACCATGTTGTATTCAAAAGTGCATTCTCCTTCCGAACGGATGGTTGAGGTTCAAAAGCCCTGTTGGACACCGACGTGTGCCACACCGATCGGCGCCCGGCCACCGAGATCCAGCGGAAAGAACATAAAAAACCCATGGCGAAGCGGCTAAGCCGGTGATGCACGGGTCTGGGAGCATAGGTCTAAGACGTGGGCCAAGCAACGAATTCCCTGAAACGACCGAGCGTTTCAAGGTCTGAAAAGCTGTGTCGAAACCCAGAGTCATCTCCAGAACAGATGTGGATTCGGCGTGCCTTGCTGGAATAGATCCCTTTGAAACCTGCACACAGCCCCCGGTGGTGGAACAAATGTGACGAAAGACGCAGACAGTGACACCCACACACCAAATGGTTTGAACTTCTTTTGGCGCTACCCATTTTGCTTTGAGGAGAACCCTCCGATCCCACTTTGCCGTGCCGAAGCAGCTCGGAGCAGCTGAAGCCGCTGGCACTCCTCGCGCCACCTGCGATGCTGCGGGGTCTCCGGGGCTCGTAGATCACTGGAGGACAAAGTAATGTCGTTACTAGTAGCTACTTGCTCCGAGTAGTACGGCCAGGAGCCCCGTTCGTAGCGTCCTTGCTCCTAGTAGGGAGCCCCTAGTAGCTTCTTGCTGGTCCCGTCGACTGCTTTTTTTCGCGACCCCCCACCCCACATCACCCCACGACATCAGGTCAGAGCGAGCGGCCAAACGACAAGGAATGCCTGGTGCTCCAAGGGATGCTTGGCCAACTGCGCAGCATCGTCATGAACATCCCTCAACCATGTCCACTCCAAAACAACAACCAAAGGGTCACCAGCCGTGCCAATGAGTAGGAGGCCTACCCCATGCTTGGCACCTCACAAAAGGTGACCTTCCTTCTTCACCAGCTTGGGGAAGCCCCTCCGACACCCCCCTCTGCTACTGGCCCCGCACGCAGACAGCAAGGAGATCTTCCACAGGTGCCGCCGCTTCGCTTGGATGCCTCGAGCCACGACCTGCAGCGGGTGGAGTGCGCCACGACCTTTGGCGTCTAAAAACGCGACTCCCCAACCAGAGGCTTACGGATTGGGGAGGCTTCGGGGGGGCGCAGGTGATTTGACTAGTGGAGAGGAATTTCACTACACCTCGGCTCATGGTCAAACGCAAGGAACCCAAATCGTATCCCAAGGAATTGCTTTAACATCCGCGATCCACCGGATCTGCATTGGCACAAAGAGATCACAAGAAGAACCAAATGGGCAAATCCCGAACCATACCACTGCTGCGGACCTGTCCTAGGAGGTGACCATATGGTCCTCCTGCGCCTTCGACCCCACGGGCCCCACCCGCACCACCACATGCCGACCGCGTGGCGCGGCTACGGACCTCCCACTGCCACCGCTGCAGGGTTCGCTGCAAGAGTCCTCGGGGGGCGAACCACGTGGCCTCACGGCCTCCGTAGCCCCAAGCGGTGACCCGAAGGTGAGGGATGCACCAGAGCTGGGCAACCCCGCACTCAGGAATCCCACAAGAAAGGCATCGCAGGCTGTGGGAAAGGAGAAGTTCTCTTCTCTCAAGAAATCCCGAGGTTATGGGCAAACTGTCCTGTTGAGGAGTTGTTGCCCAACCTCAACCATCTTCGACACCCCACACCATTCCCAAGAAAAGAATACCCCATGTGCGGGACCCGCTCTCTGCTATCTAATCTAATCTATCTACTAACCTGGCTCCCTGGAAGGAGGAGATCATTCCTGGAACTCGGGATCGCACTCGCGCTCGCCATGAGATGGGATCCTGGAGTCCACCCAGAGTCCACCCGGTGCACACCGATTCCATTGCTTCGAGGCCACTTCCCTCTTGCAGCACCACGCGGTGCGAAAGCATCCCCTGACAAGGCGAGCGGGGGCTGGAACCGAAGGGCCCTCCTGACAACACAAAGACTGCTAGCCGAAGGGCAGGGAGAACTCGGACACCTGAAAATGACAATAAGATTGGACCAGTCTGGAACCGGCTCGATGCGAAGAATTGGGTCCAAAAAGAGCGCTTCGCAAAGGAACCCGCTGGTGAGTGGGCAGTGGGGCCGACAGACGACCATTACTAAAGGCCCGGCATCACACTTCGACATGTCTACCTCCCACAACTGCCCCGCATTCGTCGTCCGTTTCGCCTTCGCCCCACCGGTCGTCGTACGAAGAGCTACTCAAAGAGGTGATCCAGTGATCCAAAGGATCCAGGGGTATCAAGTGCATCCTTTCAGGTCAGGCCAGACCTTGATGCAAGACCAGAACGTCAAGACGACCTTGCACCAAACAACAGGACCGGACCCGATCGTTGAGTTCAACCAGGCGCACACCTCCCGCCCGAAAAGAGATCAGCAAAGAGGCAAAGCAATCCTTCTATCTCACAAGAACCCTATAGACTACAGTATCCCATAGGTACCCCAGTAGGGTCCTACAAGGTCACTTAGCCTCTCTTGGCAGGAGCTCTGAGTGAAAGACCTGCTCATTGCTTCGTCTCACCCGCCTCCCCCACACCCTCGCCCACACCCACGCCTCCAGCTGCCTCGCGGAGGTCACCCAGCGGCGCCACGCGTGCAGCAGGAGCCGCGTCCTTGACAGGAACCGACCATTCTACAGGAATGGCCCTTGATTCGTCAAACCATCTTTAGGGCTCCAAGTACCTCCTCACTCCTCAGGTTTGGGGAGGCCCTGAGGGCCCACCAGCCCGGTCGTCCTTCGCTCTCGGCGCCGCTGGCACTGCCAGCGGCCCGCCGCGGCCATTCGCCAGCGCGCCAGGTGCCGCTGCAGCAGCCAGGTGCCGCCGCGCAGAGATTGCACCTTCCAAAACGGATGTCCTAAAAGGTGGGGAAACAAAGAAGCAGTGATCTTTGTAGAACTCTTCGTGAGTTCCTGATTTCATCGACTAGGGCAACACTACTGTTAGTAGTGTGGGCAGGCTAAAGGGGTGGATCAAAGACATTGAACATCCAAACCGAACCTGACAAAAAGAAGCAGTTGGAACATGTTGGAACTGGAACATGGATTTCAAAACCGCACCATGGTCTCCTCCTGTATGAAGACACCTACCATGCCCACCACAACAACGTCACTTGGACTTGGAATGGACCGGTCTTTCCTTGCAACAAGGGATGCCATGGGATGCCCATTCTATGTTGCTCCACGGCCTCCGGTGAACTACAACCACTGTGCATCCTCCGAAGTCTGCAGTGTCCACCCACCTGCCGGCCCTGCTCGGCCGTGCGCCGCCGGCCGCGCGCAAAGCAGCGCCAGGCCATCCAAAGGCGCCACGGCGCGCCGCGGCGGGAGCGGCCTCGTCCCAGGTGCGGAAGACATGGAAGACATGGTGTGAAACAACAGCCTCCCTCCAACAAACACGGAAGTGGAGCTCACCCCTTGCGACCCCCTGTTTGTAAAGGACAATGGTCTTTCCAGTCATTGTTCCACGTTGCTGGAGGGACGGCCAAGTGGAAAAGAACCAAAGGATCGACGGGTGTCCATGTGCCCCGTACCAGCGGCTGCCATGCTGCCCTGGGCCGCCGGTCTGGACCAAGACGAAGTGTTCACTGCTACTGCAAAACAGTCTACGAAGCCGGCTCCACCATCTGCCTCTTGGGATGGTGAATTGGACACCCCAAAACGAAGAGACCTCGAAGGGTGGAGGATGGACATTGGTTGAAGGGGTCCAGGTGGAGGAATGCTCAAGTACCAGTCTGGGATTTTCATCATGACCGCGAGAAACTCTAGAGCGTCAGAGCGATGAGGGGCACATCCGGCGATCGATGAAAGCTTTCCTACATACCTAGAACCTCCTCTAAACCACATGTTCAGACTGCACCTTCAACCTCCTGGTGTCCCCTCTCCCAGGTGCATCTTCCATCTTCCCTCCCGCCTCCCTGCAGCAAACCTTCCGAAGAAACATCGCCCCACCTGCTCTCTGCCAGACTCCCGCATCCAGCGCACGGCACCGGCGCGCTTCGCGCCAAAGCTGAAAGAAGCGCCGTCGCCGGCCAAAGACCGCGAACTCCGCGACCGCGCGCTTCCTCGGGGGCGAAGGGAACGAGCCGTTCGCAGCGGCGCTGCCCAGTGGGTGGTTTTGTTGCCCACATGGGAACAACTATATATATCATACATACACAGCGTATCAGGGCATTATACGGTGTGCACATCTCTAAATGTATAATCACAGTTGAGTCATATAATATCATCAATATATATATATATATCACACGGTCTTTTCCGCAGTTTGCACAGTTGCCCTCCCCTGCATA